ATTATTTTATAATTTAAATTCTATCAAATTATAAAATATTAATTTTAAATTAAATTTTTTTTTTTGATATTGAACTCACTTTTTACCATTTAAAAATCTTGATTTTCAATCTGACACAGTTTAAACTGTAAAATAAAAAAAAAAATTATGTAGCTTTAGAGAGTCAGAGTGTATTGAACGTAATTTGCATGTATTTTGAAATTTTCTTTTTGTATGATCAGCCACTAATGTCTTCAAAAAATTAATCTTTTTAAAATTTTAATTTTAAATTTTCTATAATCAATATATTTTTAGATTAATTTTCATATATTTTGAAATTAATTTTCTCGTGCAATTTTGATATATTTATGATAATTATTTTTTATTGAAATTGACCCATGACCTAAACATAATTTATAAAATGGCGTTTACTTACTAGTAGCTCAAGATTTATTGTATAAGTGGATTGTTTCAGATTCTCAATAAAAAATTATTTAAGAGTGTGTTCTTTTGCCGCCAGATAGTGCCATGGTGGCCACATATAACCTAGATTTCTCTCCGGATGTAAATATGCTTGCGTTTTCCCGATAGATAATTCGTTATTCAGCTATGAAGTGTGTTTGGAATTGGATTTTACATTTATTAAATTATATGGGATTGTCAACAATTTAAATAATTTAATGATAATTTTTTTCGTTGAAAATAAGAGATTCTGAATTTAAATCACATGGCATGTGAGTAGAGAATGATAAAAAATAAGAAATGATTGCCTCCCGTTATGCACTCAACTTAAAAAAAAAAAATTAAATGAGATTAAAATTTTGGCATTATCTCTAAACATTTTACCAATTTGTATGGCTAGATCGATAAATTTGGAATGAGAAAGTAAAGTGTGGTTTTGTATTGAGTAATGATAGGGAGAACAAAAATTTAGGATTAATGTTGTGGGTTATGTCATCTTATTAAATTAATTTATACATAAAATATTATGAATATTTAAAAAATAAAAAGAATTAATTATTCAATAATATATAGTATACTTTTTAATATTTTAAATAATGTGACATAAGTCATATTATTGGTCTAATATTTTGGTCTTAAAATTTGATCTCATTTATTATTATTCTTCTGTATTTATCCCTTTGCAAAATTTTCTTTCCTATATGCATTTTTGTACTTATTTTCATTGGAAATATTAGAGATATTCATGATTCATATAATCATGGAATAAATTCGAATTAGAAAATTGAAGTGCAGTCTATTATGCATGGATTATATTTCACTAATTAACTATTAATAGAAGTGCATAAGCCTCTTGATATTGAGGGCTCACTTATTTATTAATAGTCAAAAGTAACACAAATTGTATATAATATAGTACACCATAGTATATTAATTAATTATTACTTAGTCAAAATATGTATATATACATGAAAAGGAAATCATATGATAAAATACTATATTTATTTTAAAATAATTGTATATTTATTTTTTAAAATAAAGAATTTTTTTAAAATAAAAAAATTATAATTAATTTAAAATAAATTTAAAATAAAAAATAAAATTATTATTTTAAGCCAAATCACATAGGATACAAGTCAAAAGTGGGATATGTTAGCACGTCGTATATGATTTCCATTTACGGTCCTTGAAACGGAATCGTAATCACGTCTCCTCCCCCATGACTAATTCTTCACCTGCTGCATCTGTACGTCTATATCTGTCTCTGTTAGGTTTGATTTTTTAAGTAATTGAAACAGAGACTTTTGCTTGCGTCAAGAAAAATAGGCGGGCATTTAATATGTGTGTTAAATTTGTGGGGTTGTGACCAGTGGCTAGTGGCAAGTGGCAACAGTAGTTTTGACTACTATTTTGTTTATGAGTCTTTTTGACCAAGCTTTTCATGTAAGAATATGCACCAACGCATGGCATGACATTAGGGCTTCAAAGACACTGATTGTACTGTTTTGGGGTTTGAACATGAAGTGGTAATAATTTTGTCGTTGAACAATTTGATTGCGTGTATAAATTATGAGCTTTTGTCATTGTAGTTCATACTGAATGTAATTGTAAATTAAGAATTGATGAATATTTGAGGTAGAGCTGACTTGCCGTATTGGCAATAAACATACTTAAAATAAGAATTTTAATTTTTGGTTGAATAATTAATTACTTTCTTTCAAATAAAAAAAAGGGAGTATTTTAGTTTGTTGTATAGACTGTTTTAGATAGTAAAAAAAAAAAGATTTTTAAGTGAGGAATGAGTTTTTAATATTCAAATTCTTATTTTATAATTTGAAATAGCTAAATTACAAAATCATTTTTCATTAAATAATTAAAAGACTTAAATTAAATTTCAAGTTGAATAAAATAACCATGTGAATTGGATCAAATTAGCATATATATATATATATGGACATGAATTTCTCTATTGAAATACTAATATCTATATTTTGATGGTCAAACTACTAAGTAGTGAATAATGTTGTAAAATATATAGTATGGTTAGAAAACACTATATAATTTCTCATTAATATTCATCGCATATCATATGTGCTATTGAGATTTTTTTTTATTATTGAATCAAGTTAATTGTTATAATTCTAAATTTTGGAATTAATATTAATTCATAGGCAGACCTTTAAATTAAGACCTTTTCTAATTCCTTAGTTCTTAATTCTTTATTGAGGGAAGATAACAAAAAAAAAAAAATCTTTATTGAGGGCAGAATATTCGTCATCTACAAAGGAGAGAAATCCTAAGCGTAGACCAAAGAAAGCACACAGCTTATGCCAAGACGAAATAAATAAATAGATAATTCATAATAAAAGACAAAATTAAGTACCTATTTTTCCTAAATTCAATGTTATTAAGAAAATTATCAATTTTCCTCGCCTCACAGACTTCCAATTCAATTCCTACTCTACTCCTATAATTGTAAGTACAAAAAATTATTTTATAATTTAGATTATATTAAATTATAAAATAATAATTTTTAAATTAAAAAAGATCCTTTGATATCAATTTTTTTTAATTTAAGATTTTTAATTTTATAATTTTATATAATTTAAATTGTAAAATAAAAAATTTTTTATGTAATTTTCAAAAAGTTTGGGTTGTCTTGAAGGTAATTTATATGTACTTTAACTCTTTTTTTTTAATGATCAATCATTAATGTCTAAAGAAAAAAATTAATTTTTGTAAAATGTTAGTTTCAATTTTTTTATTTATAATAAAATATTTTAAAATTAAATTTTATGCATTTCAGAATTAATTCCTTTGTGCAATCTTAATACATTCATGATAATTAGTTTATTAATTTTGAAACGGACCTAAGACCTAAACATAATTTACATAATTTATATGATGGCACTTGCGCCTCGAAATTTATTTAATAAGTGAATTGTTTTCTATTTTCAATATAAAATTATTCAAAAGAAAACTTTGGTGGTTTGTTGTTTCGATCTGTTAACTCTGGTCCAAAAACAAAAGCCAAAAATGCGATAGTTGCTACGAATATTGGACGTTGATATCATCGTACAAAACTAAGCGTACCAAACTTAGTGGAAGAAAAACAAATGTGTCACAGTATCATTTTTTGTTTTTTTTACCCATAAAATATCGTATCATCATTAGCTGTGTTGCTGTGCCCTTTTCTATTTCGGGCATGTACGCAATTCTTTGGAAACAACTGAGAGTATGTTCGGGTAAATTTGGTAAGAGTTTTAATTTTTTTGATATTATTTATATTTTATAAATTTAAATTTTTTTAAAAAATTTATATTTTTTTTAACTTTAAAAAAAATTTAAATAATAAATTTTGAAAAATTTTAATTTTTTATTTTTTATTCACTTCTTACTTATTTTTTATTATTTTTAAAAATAATTTTTAAATTTTTCTTTCAATAAAAATTTAAATTTATAAAAATTAATAGACAATACTAAAAAAAAAAAAAAGGTAAAAGTTACAATAAGTTCCACCAAAAGAGGTCCTAAGTTGGTTGCTGCTATGTGATAGCTGGCGACGGAGATGCAGAAGCCCAGGTTTCGTCTTCTACCCATTTGGCTCTTGGGTTCTTGTGGCACAGAAAGTGGGTTTTTTTTTTGGGCTCATGTGATGGGGAAGATTGTATATATATATATATATATCAAACTTTTTTCTTGCTTCTAAGACACTACGCTTTCTTGGGTGTTATCTCGCATTAATTCTCCTCAAGTTCATGCTGAAGAAAAAGCTACTTGTCTGATTTTATACAGGTGCTTACCTTCTTTCTATTCTTTTTGAGAAAGGAAAATGATTTGGTAGAAAGTCGGTTCTACACATTTTGACACACTTATAGTTTAATTATTAAAAATATAATATAAATATAATTTTTACGTCATAATTATATTTTTATAATTTATCTATCTTTAATTTTAGATCAAGAAAAACTATGCGCTTGTAATATGTAATTAAATTTACAATCTTTTGATGTAGTTACCTGTATGAAGTTATATGATGTTTTCTAGTTTTACGTTAGAATGACAATAAGTATACTGGTAAAATGCCAGAGAAAGGAAGAATTTGAAGCCCAACTGTCCATGAATACAAGATGGGGTTTATATTTTGTTTCCCTTTTCATTTTTTGACTCTCTGGGCAACTAAAATAGAAAAAATACCTGTTACTTTTAGAAAAAGAATATGTGTAGAGGTTAGTGTGTATCAATTCCAACCCTAAAAAATGAAAAATTAGATTTTTAATTTACATTTGAAAACTAAAATCTCAATTCAAAATTTAAAAATTCACCTTATTAAATGTTAATACCTAGTTTTGGAAACCAATTATATATTAAAATTTTGAATTAAATAAAATGACATAGTTTTTAGGGTTATGACTGCCATGCACTTTTCTCATATGTATATATACTACATTGCCTTGTCTATACATTAGTACATGTAATAATAAAGACATGTCTCTTTTCATTTTGTTTTTGGAGAAAAGCCAAGTGTGATTAGATTTTAATGTTCCTCAAACTGCATTTTATCTACCCTGCCCTGCAGGGTGATAGCTATTTGTGGACGTGGACATGGAAACGGACAAGACAGCAATTGCCCTTGAAGCTCAGCAATGAAACCATTGACTTGGTATGTATCCTTTATGTCAAATATCATGTACAATTATCCAAGATATGGTTGTTCTTCTGTAAAATACGATGGGCTACTACAGTTAGATTTGGGCACCATTTATTTTCAGAATTGCAAACCATCCTTTTATCATATTGCTTGACACAGCTTTGTATTCACTGCACCGCTATATTCTTTATGATATGCTTTGATCACATGATAACAATAGTACTGATGGAAATCAAACAGTTATCTGATTACTTCTTTGAGAATGATAATGGGATACCTCCTTTTATGCTAATCCCTGAGTTGGTTCTTGCAGGAAGATATCCCCGTTGAAGAAGTTTCTGAGAAGTTGAAATGCACCAGGGAGGGTCTAAGCTCTGATGAAGTTAAGAAGCGGCTGGTGCTCTTTGGTTATAATAAACTTGAAGAGAAAAAGGTCTTTATGTTCATGTCAGCTTCCATTTTCTAAATATTATCTCATTGCTCTTCAAAACAGAAGAAATAAAAGAAAAGGTTTTCTTCTGCTTAATTTTGGCTCTGTCATTTCATGCACAGGAAAGCAAAATATTGAAATTTTTGGGCTTTATGCGGAATCCTCTTTCATGGGTTATGGAAGCAGCCGCATTCATGGTCATCACTCTCCCACATGGAGGGGTAAGTCCATAATCTGTTTCAGGGAACAACTTTGCATTGAAGTTGAAACTTAGATTTCCAAATTGAATGCTAAAAAGCAGTCTCTTTGCAGGGAAAGGATATCAATTATTATGATTTTGTTGTCATTTTGGCATTGCTATTGCTCAATTCTACAATTAGTTCTATAGGGGAAAACAATGCTGGAAATGCTGCTGCAGCCCTGATGGCACGTCTAGCTCCAAAGGGCAAGGTATGTTCCTAGGAAATTTCATTTTTTATGCATTATTTTGTCCTTACTATCATATTTGGATATATTATTCATTCAAATTTAGTTGACTTGATCAGGTATTGCTTGATGGGAAATGGAATGAGGAAGATGCTTCTGTATTGGTTCCCGGAGACATTATCAGTATCAAGCTAGGAGATATTATCCCTGCTGATGCCGGTTTGCTTAAGGAGATCCTCTAAAAATTGACCACGTTCAAGTCATTTTTAACTGAAAAATTAATCAATGCTCATATACTTGGAAGTGATTTTAAATCGTTAGAACTAACTGCAATATCTAGTTTTTCCAAAAACAGTTATTTCTTGAAGCCAATTTATAGTGGCTTTGTTCTAGGATTTAAATTATATGCTTTTTGGTTTGCAGTCAGCCCTTACAGGTGAGTCACTACCTGTAACAAAAAATCCTGGTGATGGAGTTTACTATAACTCAACATGTAAACAAGGCGAAATTGAAGCAGTTGTTATTGCAACTGGAGTGCATACTTTCTTTGGAAAGGCAGCTCATCTTGTGGAAACCACAACTCATGTTGGGCATTTTCAGAAGGTTCATCTTAGAAACTCTTTTTATCTTGATGATAGTCTCAACTAGATGTTCATAATTTAGATGACATTTGGTTCAACTGAAATGGGTCTTAATACGTGGAGGTATTAGCATCCTTAAAAATAATGTGAAGGCAAGCCAATTTGAGGGGAAATTTGGATATGAAATATGGAATCTGCTCATTTTATTATTTGATGGCATTGACACCGTGAGGCCTAATGGTTTCAGGTCTTAACTGCAATTGGGAACTTCTGTATTTGCTCCATTGCTGTTGGAATGGTGATTGAACTTATTTTCCTAGCTGGCGTTCAACATAAGAGATATCGCCCTGTCATAGATAACCTGCTAGTTATACTCATTGGTGGTATCCCAATTGCCATGCCAACTGTTCTTTCAGTCACTTTGGCCATTGGCTCTCATCACTTATCTCAACAGGTCAACAAGTTTAGAGTTGTTTCCTTTTTTCAATTGCAGTAAAGTATTAACTTTGATATTCACTCTATTTCTGAGCAGGGTGCCATAACAAAGAGGATGACAGCTATTGAGGAAATGGCCGGAATGGATGTGCTTTGCAGTGACAAAACGGGCACACTAACTCCTAACAAACTCACTGTGGACAAAAATTTGATAGAGGTAACAATTTTTTTTTATCCTTAGTGTAGCATTTCTAATGTCATATCAGCACAAAGAAATAATTCAGACCAAGGCAAAAGTGTGTATGCATGAATGCAGCACATTAGTTTTTTCTGCAGCTCTGATGTACATATGTTAATATGCACCTAGATAAGTCCTTCTCCAGTTGTTACCATGACTAAATTTGACATCTTTAATCCTTTTTCTGCTTGAATTTCTCTGCTCCACATGGAAGGAGTTGTATACTTGTATAGCTTGATACTTGTATCATTGTTGTGTGGAATATACTTATTTCATTTAGTTCTTCATGGATTTGAAATTCTTAGGTCTGTAAAAACCCAACTAACAGTGATGAAGCTTAAACATTATCTACTTCATTATAGGTTTTTCCTGATGGTGTTGACAAGGATTTGGTGATTTTGATGGCTGCAAGAGCTTCAAGGTTAGAGAATCAAGATGCTATTGACGCTGCGATAGTTTCAAGGTTGGGTGATCCTAAGGAGGTAGCAGATCTTCTTAATGGAAATTTTACAGATAATTATTATTATTTTTTAAAAAATTTATCTTCACTTACTTCATTCCTGTTGTAGAACCATTTATATTTTTGACTTTTGGGACTGCAATAATTATTATTAGTCCATAGCCCTTGGTTATGTGGTTTAAGGGATTGAAAGTTGAATCAAGAACTAAGTCTGGAGTAATTGTTAATTTGCATATATTTGAAGGGGCTGCTCTGCTGCAATGAAGAACATCTCAAAGAACGTCTCAAAGTATACCTGAAATACTAGTGTGTTTAAAGGGATTCTTTGGTATGGGGCCTAGAGTTAGTTGGCTAGAGTTGTAAGTACAAGCTTTATGCATTTATCTATCTTATTTATTTGGTAGATTGAATGAAAAATATTTCTGTAAAATTGCAAGGAACGCAGACAAGAGTTTGTCTAGAAATGCAGAAAAGAACTTGGTCAAAGAAATTTAACAACGTAAGGCAGAAAAAGGTAGTGAAGATAATGAATGTAGTATTTTGTAAACTAAACTTCATTCATGAGCTAGTTTGGATTTGTTCATAAATTACTTTTGACCTTTCTGATAAAGAACTATATTTTCTTGAAAACTCTGACTTTGCTATTAATCTGGCTCAAGTGTTGGATTATCTTCCTAGATATCTTAAAACTTCTATTTCCTTTTCTAATTCTTCCTTTTAGCTAAGGCTATAATAAGTTGGGTTTATTTCATTGAACTATTACGAGGCACAAGCTGGAATTACAGAAATTCACTTCCTTCCCTTCAATCAAACTGATAAAACAACAGCACCTATGCTGATAAAGGTGGTAAAATGCATAGAGTCAGCAAAGGTGCACCAGAGCAGGCATGCATTACATCATTACTAAGCACTAAATTTTCTGAAATGTCACCGTTTAAGGTTGCCTGAAACTTACTATCCCCTTATGTAAACTTTTAGATACTTAATCTGGCATGGAACAAATCAGATGTTGCAAGAAAGCTGCATGCAGTCATTGATAAATTTGCTGAGTGTGGACTTTGATCCCTTGCTGTTGCTCGACAGGTAATGAAATGTTACGTTTCAATATTAAATCTAAGAAGTGCACTCCTTTTCTGTGTTTGCCATTGAAGTAGAGTAATATACTTTGTAGGAGATACCTGCTGGTACCAAAGACAGTCCTGGAGGACTATGGGAATTTGTTGGTCTTCTGACTCTCTTTGATCCACCCCGTCATGACAGTGCTGAGGCTATTAAAAGAGCCCTGGATCTTGGTGTCAATGTTAAGATGATTACAGGTTTGCATCATAGCTAATTAACTTTCTACCTTATCTATTGTTGGATGACCTCTGAATTACAGTCTCCGTTTAAGGCTTCTTGTCATGTCTCTTCTGGCTTCCCACGATTTTAGTCAGGGAGAACTAATTTACCTCAGGTGTTATCAGCTGTTTTCCATAACAGTCAATAATTGCGTTGATAAGTTGTCCCTGAGTTCTTGTCCACTTCCAGGTGACCAACTGGCAATTGGAAAGGAAACAGGAAGAAGACTTGGAATGGGTACAAACATGTACCCTTCATCTTCTCTGCTTGGTGATAAGAAGAATGAGGCAGTTGGAGCATTGCCTGTAGATGAACTTATAGAACAAGCTGATGGTTTTGCTGGAGTTTTTCCTGGTAAAGTTGTTACTGCTTCTAAGAGCTCTTTAAACTTCGCTTTGATGTTCCTATATCTGATTCCACTATTCTCTGCAGAGCACAAATATGAGATTGTGAAACCACTACAAGCAAAGAAACACATAGTTGGAATGACAGGTGATCGGGTAAATGATGCCCCTGCTTTGAAAGTAGCAGATATAGGGATTGCTGTTGCAGATTCAACGGATGCTGCTAGAAGTGCTTCAGATATTGTTTTGACAGAACCTGGACTAAGTGTGATTATTAGTGCTGTTTTAACAAGCCGTGCAATCTTTCGAAGGGTGAAGAATTGCACAGTAAGAAATGAATTTTCATTTCATCCTGAAGAAAGTAATGGTGGCCTAAAAAAGTTTCAAACTCCTCACTATGATTCTCATTAATTGACCTGAATTCACAGTACAGTGACAAACCTCATATATTCAGTTATGATTTTGTTCTAGGTACTATCATGACAATATCCAAAGACAGGGTCAAGCCATCACCAGTTCCTGAAAGTTGGAAGCTCAGTGAAATTTTTGCAACGGGGATTGTTATAGGCACTTACATCGCACTTGCGACTCTTTTGTTCTTCTTGACAGCTTTTAAGCAGATTTCTTCTACGTTAAAACAACATTTACCTGATGACTTGCTAGTTATTAATTCTCCTTCAAAATAAGGTATAGAATTTAATCCTTTATCTATATTGTCTCAGGATAAATTTGGGGTAAAAAAACTCAATACTGAATCAGATGATAGGTTTGCACAAGTAGCATCAGCTGTGTACCTCCAAGTTAGCACCACAAACCAGGCACTAATATTTGTAACTCGATCCAGGGGCGGGTCTCTCCTCCTTGTTATTGCGTTTGTGCTGCTCAACTGGTGAGTGAGTTAAAATATTTTTTTGAGTTTTTCCAATAAGCTTACATGATTATTTCTTTGTGTTACTGTTACAGTATGCATAATTTTTGACATTTGGTTACAAGCTAATGAAGCCCTCATATATAGATTGCAAGTGTGATTTCTGCTCATGCAACATGGAAGTTCACTGGAATAAAAGTGATTGGATGGGGCTGGGTTGGTGTTCTTTGGCTGTACAACTTGTTATCATTGATGCTCCCTGACCCCATTAAGTTTGCTGTCCGATATGCACTCAGTGGGAGAGCCTGAGGCCTTGTTGTCAACAAAAAAGTGAGTAAACCAAAACCTCTCTATCATGATTCAATTATTATAAGTTGGATATATTATTCAAATAAATTTAGTTCATCATTTTCGACATTTTTTTTCTGGAAGCTTTCCAATTTGAGTTCTTCCTTGGTTGCCAGACTGCTTTAACCACTCAAAAGGACTTCTTTCTTTTCTTTTCTTCTTCTCTTTTGTTTTTTTTACTTAAGGAGAATTGTTGGGAATAGAGGAAGTAATACTTGAGAATAGATCTTAAGACTTTTACGTTCAGGCATGTTCTTACAAAGGAGATGGTCACTATGCCAAATAGTGTTGGACGCCACTCAAAAAGGACTTTGGCAAGGAACACATGATTTTTAATGATATATTATTGTCCCTGAGCATGGAGAACATGCCGAATTCCTCCTTATCCCCCTTGTCTTTTTGCTCTTCTATTGCTTTCCAGAGTTTAGTGAGACAGTCACACAGCATCTTGTGGTTAGTGGATTCTTAATTATTTATTTTATTTATACAAATATTTTTTTTCCCTTAAAAATCAACTCATTTTTTGCATTTCCAATTAAATTTGATCACATGAATCATTGTGATTAATAGAATCGAATTTTTTTTTCATATATTTTTATCAAATGCAAATCTAATGGTGTAGTGAAATCTTGATAGTTAAAATAGTTTTGTCACTAATATAAAATATTTTTATACTTTTACATTAAAAGTTCAAAAATGTACCTTTTCCCATCCACTTATATATTTAAACCACTTATTTTAGTGGCTTTTTTTTTTTAAAGAGAAAAAATCTTAAGGTGCAAGTTTGCATTATTTGTTTGCTATGAAGTGGCCACAGCACATTTTCAGCATGATGAAATGGAAAAGAAGCTGCCTAAAAAGTTGCTCTTATCTCTAGTACGTAACGTAGACATTTTTCTCAATGCTCTTATCTTTGATCACGACATGAGTTTGATTGTCATATTTTAAAATGTTAATTTTAAAATGTTAATTTTAAATTATTATTATATTAAAGTTATATTAATATTAATATGTATTGTTTTTAATTAGTTTATTTGTAAATAATGAAAAGTTAATAAAAATGATATTTAAAAAAAATACATATTAAAAGAATATGAAGTTAAAAATATTAATATTTTAAAGTAATTTTTTTAATAAACATGTTATGCTGTTCAACATCTTATGGATTGCATAATCATATTGATTGATAACATCAATAATGTGATTTAATAGTTAAGAACTTGAATTTTAAGTTGGAGATCTCACTTTTGAATTTTGAACAGAGGAATTAAAAAAAAAAAAAATTATCTTCTTTTATATAGTCTATTTAAATATATATAAAAAAGATTATATTGATGGATTGGGAAGAGTTTTTCGCCAGTGAGAGCCTCCCCTTAGGAAAAAATAAATAAATAAAGACTAATTTTAAAAAATATTTTTTCAATAAGATTAAAAATATTAATAATATGGTACACTTTTTTTGTTTTAAAAT